ATGTAGTCTTTTTGTGAAACTATCTTTCTATTAACACGGGCAATTGTTGCTTTTAAACTGAACAGTCGTCATCAATTGAAAACCAAATGTATTGGACATTATAGTGATAATGCCAATATTTATGAAAAATATTGTAACTGTATGTTATATTTACTGTGACAATTACCCTAAGAATACGCCCCCTTTCTCCATTCATGTCTGATTATTTTCAGATGACACTTTTCAAAGACACTTGAATTATAACTAACTTATTACCAATTCTGACAAATTAACGCTTGTGTATCCTTTGGAAATGAGAGATAACCATTTAACAATACGAAACAATAATCGGATTATAAGTTAGACTGGTACCTCTCAACTGCTTTGAAATAACTGCACAACATGTGCATTATATAAGATTTAGATATAAAGCTGGTCGTTCTTGCTATAACATTTCAATAGATAATGCAAAATGAATAATGTATTGAACATTTCATTCAAATTAACTAGCAATGGCTGTAGTTTTGACAAGATGTGCGCATTGATCGGAACCACCGTACTGGTCATTCGAGTCTTAGCCTAGCTTCTCTATTTTTAAATTAAACCATTCAATGGCCCAACCGTTCTAATCTACTTAAACATGCATCATGCAAGAGCTAAATCTGCCTATTGCAGTTCTTTCTTTAGGTCTGAAATGTTTTCTAAAGTATTAATTAGACATTAATTAACTGATCCAGGCCTTAATCAATATTAAATAGATTAGAATGGTTCAGCGATACTTTGATTTAATCAAATATGGAGGACCGATACTTAGCTTCGATCAACCAGTACGGTGTTTGAAATTATTGCACACGTCTGTCAAACCTTCAAAGGCTAATATCTTCGCTTGCAATAGAGTAATTTTTCAAATTATTCATTTTACATCATCTACTTTCGAACTATTATAGCAAGAATGGCTAGTTCTTTATCTAAATCTTACATAATGTATCTTTAAATAGGAGCCCTCCGTTGGCACCGAGATTCCATTATAGTCTTGTCGTGTTAATAAATGTCTAATTAGTAATTTATATAGCATTTGGAGGGGGGGGGGTACAGTGCCTACCATAACATTGGGGGCACGCCCCAGTCCTCCGCCCCCCACCCCACACCAAGCACCAAGCGCAGCACAGGGTAAACGTATTTCTTAGGTTATAGTATTTTTAATAAATGCAAAATCAACGAAAACATGGCATCGATAGTACACGCCTCACATTATAATATATAAGCTGCTAAAACTTACATAATCAATTTTAAATAATTGTATACAAGCATATGAACGGGAAATCATTTTTCAGTCATGTATCTACTTTATGGCTATCCCATTTAAAGAGGCATTAGGTAAGGTTAGATAAAGAGCTGGCAGTTCTCGTTATAATAGTTAAAAGTAGAAAATGAAAAGAGAATAAGCTAAACATTTCAGTCAAATTACTTTGCTCTGAGCCAGCTATCGGCGACACAATAGTCTATAGCCTTTATTGTCTTTACTACCGTTGTTACGATAATAAACAATGTCTGGATTATCCACAAAACATATTCCAATCGACTAAATATCAGATCCATCAGATGGTGTCGAGGGTTGATTATGGTCTTGGTAAGTTAATTAACGTCTAATTAAGGCCACACAAAATAAATGTCTTGTTTCTCGGGCAACTGACAGCTGAAACTGTAGGGAGGGAGGGCGGTTTCTTTTTTTTTTTTACTCATTGATGGTGCAAAATAAAATTTGGCTATTGCTGAAAATTGTTGGGGCGGGAGGGCGGTCTTTCTTTTTTTTTTTTTTTTAAATGAGAAAGTCATTACTTGTTTACGTTTTTGCTTTCCGTTATATTCAACTTTATTGTACATACTTAAAACATAAACCCAAAATCAAGTCTACTAAAACACTGAGACAACACTGACTGAAAGGAAAATAATTTTCCATATTTAATTCACATAATTGAAATTGGTTTAAAATAAAATTCCATACGACTATGTAATAGCCCTCCATAAAGACAACAATATTTTTAAAAACTAAGCCTCTTTCACCAGGTGTATCAAAAATAATAATCATGGTAAACAGTATTTAAAACTAAATCTAGTATCGCCGGTTTATTTATAATTATTTACCGAATTCCAACCAATGCATGTCACACCGTGTCATCGGTATTGGAGATTGCCGGAAATACCGTTTCTTGGGATATTCGGTGTGTTTCTCAGGATATTCGGTGTTCTATCCGGTGTTTATATTGAATGACTATTTAAATCTAACTAACAACTGGTCAGTAAAACCATCAAATCGGTAATCCAATTATTATTTTCCGGATTATCGAAACTACCGTAAATGTGCTAATAATGACCCAGATTCTAAGGTATGCATTATGACGACTATCGTCATCGTATCCTTAGCTATAATTAATTAACCTGTTCTACGGTTCATTATTTTATCAATAGGATTTTCCAAACAAGGACCGACTGAAGCCGGCAATAATGAGCCGATTACGATCGAATGATTGAAATATTGTCGCCAATGACTTTTAACACGAATCAAATTCTGGTTTATCAGGGGAGGTAATTAATATCACGTGATACAAAATGGAGGTTCTTTCGATATCAATAAAAAAGGCAAATCTGCCAAACTTCGCCATTGTTCGGATAAAAAAGACAGCATGTTCATCTGAATCAGTTTTAATACATTTGAATAGATATACATGTATGGCGGATGTAGGTACATGCGGGATATTTTTTTTACGACTTGCTTGTCGATGTGCGGGCGGGCGTTACATATTTATTTTTTTTCATCAAGACTAATAAATAGACTGCACGCGCAACCAATTTTGCGTGCGGGCGGTGCCCGAGAAACAAGTTATTTTATTTGTGTTGCCTAATAATGTATATAACATTTAAGGCCCAAAGAATGAACTGCAATAGGCAGATGTCGCTCTTACATAATGCCTGTTTAAATTACACGCACAGTATCCTCGCTAGCCAATAAGACAATTGAGACAAAAATATATGCCTAGGAATGCAAGTGTTCAATAGGGGTAGTTCAGTTTACCTCTGCATTTGGGAGATGACGTATATCAACAAAGACGTAGACCAGCGGTTAAAAAAACAAAACAATATTTGTTGACAATACTTGTACATTTGGTCATGATCTCTCCATTTTAACGCATCTGCTGGCATCACTTCAAGTTTATGTTTTTATTTACTGAACCAATATTTGCACGTTGTCCTGTAATATGGGTGCTTCGATACAATACAATTTATTTTACCTTGCAAACAATGAAGATTGCATAACATTATACCACGACATCTTAGGTATTCTAAGGGGTTATTTTTTAAAAAATACCCACAAAAATGTGGTTTCATTTATAATTCAGGCAAAAATTATCCCCCCCCCCCCCGCCAAACAAAAAACCCCAACCCAACATTATCGACATATCTTACATGATGTTTTGACACCATTCCAAGTACATATTGATGTACCTATTTAATGTCGTTCACAGGATTCACAGAAGAAATTGTTTTTATTTGTATCGAAAAGTTATGGTGAAAGCCGACGTAAGCTAATTAGCAAAAGTAATTAACGATAGTTTAACGAAGTCTAATTAGTGATAAGGTGTGAACAATAAGCCATTGGTTCTCTCATCAGGGGGTAACAACTCGAAAATAAATCAAAGAAGTAACAATACACAATGTAATATACACTGTATTAAAGGCTAAGTGTACAGGTCACGCAAGATTTAGATAATTATTTTCAAACTATAAAAGCTCCGTGAACCCGGTTGTATAAATCTGTTTGCGATATAACCCCAGGTGGTTGTAGTAGGTTATATAAATTTATTGAAGCTCGGGCCCCATTAGGTGAATCTGTCGTAATTTAGAATAGGTATAATCAATTACTTTTATTTTCTGCTGAAAGCACTACTGTTTTCCATATAGATGTAAGCAAACCATTATAATGGTCGTTCCTGTATAAGGTCCAACTGTTCCAAATTTACAACGCTATTATTTAATAAAAGGCGTCAACGTTTTTTTGACCGAGGCTCCCTTTTCAGGCCGGATAAACGATAAAGTGTGCTTTTTGCCAGTGCAGTGATATTTCTATCCAATACGGTGTCTATTTAAGTTTTGAAAATGTCCGTATTATTTTAGAGATCACAGTTTCTCTTTGATGTATCATATCAAGGAAAAGTTTATTAATATCCGCTAAGTAAAGGGACAGTGAACTACTTTATCTTATCTAGCATTAATTACTTTTAAAACGAGGGAGAAAAAACTCAATTCGGGCTACATTCCGATTTACAGCGGGTAGGGTGAGGGCGAATGGTCTAAAGCGCCCGCGTTAGACCATAAGGTCTGTCATTTAGTCAAGTGGCGCGGTTTCGATCTCACACTTGTACGTGATAAGGAGAAGGATCGCATGCCTAACCTCGTGGGTTTTCTTCGGGTCCACCGGCATCCTTCCACGGTTAAGACGCCTAAGATTGTACCATACATGTGTTAATGGACGTCAAATCCCCTCACCCCCGCCCACCCCCTCTCTCTCACTCACTCACTTTTTACAGAATTTAATAGACAGTTTTCAATGAATGACTGGAAATGCACCAATTAAAATATTAAACTCCAAAAGTATTAAGTTACAATCACTGAAAACTCGATACGATTTAGCGGGGTTTTTTTTCTTGTGGAGGTGTGCTGAATCCGACCTATTACAGCCCCCGTTCAACATCGCTTCTTGCGAAATATCCACACTAACATTACTTTTCTTAGCTATGTCAACTCAGCAAGAGTTTTCAAACATTCTCGGATCGCAAGGAACTTTAAATCATCAACATAGTGGAAACAATGTAGAATTTGTATTGTTCTAAATAATCGATAGGGATACTCGTTGGCCAACCTGATGACGATTATTTAGACCCTACCTTTACGAATACAATCACAGCCATGGATGGTTGAACACACCTGTGTTCCCTACGTGAGAAAATCGACTCTCCTTCAGTTTGCTGTCAGGTAATTCTGACTGAACGAGAGGTGCATGGTTTATGAAGGCAGTCTGTGTGTCGTTGCCTTCAATTGAGTTCTTTTCACCGGTGACTTTAAAACTATTATGATGTGATTTAAAAGAATACATCAAGGTGTATTGACGGGTTTGACTAAGGTTATGGTATATTTAGTAAGTGACTTTTAAATATATTTATATGATTTATTTAAACTGTCTTTAGACAACAGGAATGATCGGGAACATTTTTTAAACTGTCTTTTTTCTTATGGACTCGCCTATATAGATCATACATTTGTGTTGGGAGCACGTTTGTTTAGTTCAATCTTGTGTACTGTCTTTTTCAGAGCCGAGAACAAAATTTGTATTGAGTAATTGGGTAAAAGTATCGGTGATTGACGAAGAAAACTATGGCGACCGTACAACAACTAGACAATGCGTCCATTGATCGGGGCCAAAAAAGACTTAATTCACTTTTTTTACCACCAGGAATTAATTTACAGAAATGCAAAAGATGTGGTGAAACTGTTTATCATAATGAACGAATGGGCCCCGTTCATGATGCTGTTTTCCATAAAACATGCTTTAAATGTTGCCTCTGTGGAACCACCTTAAACCTGAAAAATTATTATTCCAATCAGATAGATCCAAATGATAGTGAAATTTATTGTGTAAAGCATGTGCCTAGAATTGGAGGTGCCAAAATAGATTCTCAATCAATGGCCATGCAGCATATGTTGAATAAATCCCCTGGTGGTCTGAATAGACCGACAGCAGAAGTGAGGGTACATGGAACCGCGCCCACTATGGATACGGATGCCTTTGGAATAAGTCGTGCCATGGCAGCATCAAGATTGGGAGGGAATATTAAAACGGATAAAAAAAATGACCATCTGTCGAGTGTTGGAGCTGATGCTCTATATATCAGACAACAAATTGATGCTCAAGCCTTACAGAGGAGATATCAGAGAAAACTGGATAAACATCACTTTCCTCCACACATTGTAAGTTTATTTGTATTGTTTAATTGATCAGCCATTTCATTTCAAACTTGTCTTTATTTATGGATTTAATTCCATTATCCTTATTAATTCACTAACTTAGACCAGGGAAGAATATTATAATCTGTCCCAATTTTTTCTGACCTGTGATTTACCTGTATGACTAATCTGAGCATTGGAGAGAAAGCGAAATGGGGTTTAACATCCAGTTGACACAAACTAGGTAATTTTGGGACAAACACATGGTTCAATTTTATTTCAATAATGCGCTTGCCTGTAGGATTCTTTAGCAGTGGGAGGAAACCAGAGGACCTGGAGAAAACCCACAAGGTTTGACAGGAGACCCTACTCCTTGTCAGGTACAACCGGGAAATCAAAACCAGGCCAGTTGACTCAATGGACAGACATGATGCAGCACACGTGCTAACCATTCGGCCACACCCCCTCCCCCGCCCCCCTGAGCATGATGGATAGATTCTTCTATCTGTGTGTTCATACTGTATGGCTTATCTGTGTAGTGGATAGATTCTTCTATGTGTGTTCATACTATATGGCTAATCTGAGTAGTGGATAGATTCTACTATCTGTGTGTTCCTACTATATGACTTATCTGACTAGTGGATAGATTATACAATATGGCTAATCTAAGTAGTGGATATAATCAACTACCTGTATGTTCATACTATATGGCTAGTCGGAGTGGTGGGTAGATTCTACTTCTGTAACTGTATATGTTCATACATAGAGGAGTATCATTACACTTCTATTATCCAGGTTTTATAGACCTGCTTATAAGTCCACCTTAGAGATGGGTTGTATATTCAATCTAATTGGGGGTGTAAGATTGAACATACAATAACTGGACCACTCACTTCTTCTTGATATAACACATACAACAATAATACTAGGTCATTTAATAAGGAACAGCATCTAATGAGGTTTTGAAAGGTACTGCCTTTGTGGAACTTTTCCAATATTATAATTACATCTTTTATTTGTGTTATTTACCATTTTAGCCTTATACTGGTCTTAAGTGGTCACATGCAATGTTGATATTACTTATCTATTGAAAGGTACTTAATAACCTTCCGATCATTGTATAATGACAGGGACATGTATGCCAAACAGATTCAGTATGTGTTACAAATCTAAAAGAAATCTGCTGAACATGCAACTTGACTAAAATGTCAAAAAAAATGGCCTTCACTTTTAAAAATATCAATGAAAAAGGGCAGAGTTAGTTGGCTTTTTCTCGAGATGAATTCAGACTCAAATTGAATTGTTAAATATATATGTGTGAAATTAAATGGGGTTAAACGTCCTATTGTTTTGCTCCGACTGGGTTAATGATGACGGGCATATGCCATACAGTGTGCTATGAGGGAAATTTTGCCCGAACAGTGGGGCTACGGCCTACTCATATATCAAAGTCAAACTGCCAAGGGATCTTTTACATGCATACCGATGTGTACGCGGGATCTTGGTATTTGTCGCAACCAAACGACTAGACAACTGTCCTTGTCAGGCCCTCAATCCTGCACCACTGACAAGGGGAAACCACGCCGGAAAATCCCAATAAACTTTCTCCATCAACAGCTAGCAAACCATCGTCTTACTTATATGTACACCTGTAGCTGAACACATGGGTTTGGATATTGTTTGAAGTTTTTAACAGTTAAATAGATTAACTGACTGTCTAATATCTGGAATAAATTTATTAAAAACCATCAAACAATGAGCATGTGTCTTTACGAACCTGCTACAGGCAGTGTTACCTTTCTGTACTACACATAGACTTGTTTTACTGCTTTTAAATAAAATTTATTATTGTCCTTACAAGGTTTGTATTTGACAGTGGTATGATCGGGAAAGTTTTTTTTTCCTGGAAGATAGGCCATGGTTTGAAGTTTGAATTGGACTCAAGGTTTTGAAATATGAGTGCTTACATTTGTACTGATTTGTGTATAATCTAAATAATGATGTTTTTATTCGACTTCGTGTTTGTATTATCTTCACACAGGTAGCTAGAGACTATTCATTTCCCTATATGAATACATGTATATTCATGTTACCTGTATTATGACAACATTGTTATTACCCTACATGTAAATATATAGATAATATACCACAACTAATATACATAATACTTATACACATTAGTACACAGGAGCTTTTGAACATACATGTAATTAAAATCTGAAAATTAAATAATATATTAAATATCATTCCCCAGGAAAAGATATTGAAAACTGAGTAGTAAATTCTGACAGTGTAGGTAAATAGTCATTGACTCATTACACAGTACAGCCATTGTACAATTAAGGTTTTTAAAAGTAACTATAAATATGTATATGTTAATGATTTATAAAGTTTAGAACAGTATATTCCGTCTCATCAAACATTTAATAAACATTTCCATGAAATGCCCAATCAATTCAATTCCTTTTACCAGTCTGAAATTTAGATATGTTTCAAATTTGTCACATTCACAGATTGTGTGTATCAAATTAGAAAAAATTATCTGAAGGAACATCTGTTGCATTGGAATTGAAACCCTATACAATAGAGTTACTGCACATTGTAAATAGAAGTTAACTTCATTTAAGGCTAATGAAAATATCAATAGCGTTGAATACAAGTTGGTATCAATAGGTTGGTATACAAAACGGTAATAAATATTAAATGCGTTATGTATCTATTATTAGCTTCGATTCTCCTAAAGGGATTTTAACATCATCAGATGGTTGATGCTTTTACATTTTATGAACAGTGCTTAGGAATTTTGTCAGGGCAACACTATTGACTAGACAGATTTAGATTTAAGCATAAGTGTTCAAGAACAAATTCAATATAATTTAAAGATATTGTACATGTAAGGTCAGTAACCTGAAAATTTCAGGGATAAGGGCATAGACTTGAAACCAGTTTTGGAATCAAACATTCACTGCACCTCTTTTACTGAACTAGTGTAATTAATCATATTAAAAGGCCTGGTCTGATATGTAACTCTTCGAAACCTTCAGATAACAGAACTTTTCTGGTTTTATTCACTCTGTCCTGGTGAACATGGTTGTCCAGTTATATTTGTGGTCAAATATTTTAGTTATCAACTGGAAATATTTGTGTTCATGTGTTTTAGTTATCAACTGGAAATATTTTTGGCTGTGAAACGGATGAACTTCTAATCCAAGCTAGTAATCTTTTACCTTGACCAACTTATCAAGAGTGTTATAAACTATATGGTATCTTAAGAATTTAGATTTAGTACAATTTGATTGCCTCACACCAGATTAATATATACAATAAACTTTGTTTGTTGTACTGTGAAAAAAAGAAAGAATAGAAGAGTACTGTCATTGATATACAAATATATTAGGCCGTAAGCTTGTCATCTTTCTCAGTGTAAGCCTGAACATGTGTAGCGATGCGCCTCAAGAGTAAGTTTTAGGGTCTTTCAGGGTTTACATCACACCTGTAAATGAATAAATTGCACCTTGTGTTTATTTATAAAGTATAATTAATATAAATAAAAAGCCGATATGACTGACTAATATTAGGAAACAGTCATTTTCTTATGAGATCAACCATGAAAGGTCTACAGTTCATTTAAAAGAATTTTTATACGTCCACATTTTCATGTGGACGTATCATGCTGTCGCCTCTGCACATCTGTCTGTCCGTTCGTCCGTCCAGAATTTGTTTGTGGACATTCTACAGGTCACAATTTTATCCAAATTTTGACGAAACCTGAAATATAGGTCTATCTCCCAAAGATCTTGGTTCCCTTCGATATTAGCATGTATTGGACCATAACTTCATGGATTATAGCCTGTGATTGTATGACAAATCACTTTTTTAACTTGTGGACACTCTAGAGGTCACAATTTTGATCCCATTTTGATGAATCTTGAAAAACATGTTTATAACCCAAAGATATTGGTTTCTTTTAATATTTGCGTATATCCTGAGTTATGGCCCTTGATTGCACGAAAATCAAATTTTTTTTAGGCTTGTGGTCCCTCTAGAGGTCACTATTTTTATCCGATTTAAACCCTAATCATGGTTGAGATTGAATTTTGTGAAAATCGGACAGAATGGCCGCCCCCATTGTACGCAAATAGTGTAAAAATATTGTATATCAAGGTTCTGAAATGTGGACCCTCTAGATGCCACAATTTTAATCCGATTATAACCCAAAGATCTTGGTTCCTTTCGATATTTGCGCATATCACACTTTAACTTCCTGGGTTATGGCCTCTGATTGTACAGAAAATCGTGTCTTTTAGCTTGTGGATTCTCTAGAGGTCACAATTTTATCCAATTTTAAAAATTGTTTAAACATATCACTATTCAACCATAATGAAGGTTGAATTAGAATTTCGAGAAAATTTAAAATAAACTGCCCGACAAAATGGCCGCTCTTTGTATGCAAATTGTATATATGTAATAGTGCATGTATGTAATACGAAGGTTGTGGACCCATCAGAGGTCACAATTTTTATCTGATTTTGATAAATCTTTATATCTCAAAGATCCCAGCCCCTTTCGTTATTTAAGCATTTCAGACCATAACGTTCTGGATTATGGCCCCTGATTGTACGAAAAACGCCTTGCAAAATGTGGGTGTATCTTGTCTGGCAACCGCTGTTTTCTATAATAGCAGCTTTATAATTACACATATGCTTCCATTGTATTATTTTTGTCAAAAATTTCTTCTATAAATAGGCAAAAAATGTGTCCTTTATTGATAGCCTACTTGTACTTGAAAAAAAGTAATCATTAGCTACCAGAATAATTTAGGGGCACTCTTACTTGCTTTTCATTGTATTATTTATATCAAATATTTCTTTTATAAATAGGTAAAAAATGTGTTCTTTATTGATAGCCTACTTGTACTTGAATAAAAGTAATCATTAGCTACCAGGAAAATATAGGGGCACTCAAACTTACTTTAGGTAAAGGAAAAACATGTATCACACCTTTAACATTTCTGATAAAAACTC